TGCAATTATAAAAAGAAAAGAAACCTTAGTAAACTAGAAAGGGAGCTTCATTAACCGGACAAAAATTACTTGTGAAAAATACTTACAAGAAACATCATTCTAAATGGAGAAACATTAGGAGCATTCTCCTATTACCAGCTATTTAACGCTGCACACTGGAGGTCCTAGATTTTGTATTAAGAAAAGAGAATTAAAGGCATATAGATAGGAAAGAAAAAAACAGATAATATGGTTGGTAGCACAGAAAATTTAAAAGAATCTAAACAGACATACTATAGCATTGACAGGAGATGGCAGCCTGGCTGGGTAAAAAAGGAACCCAACAGCAACAAAAAACAAAACGTAATTCTTAAAAATGAGCATAAAGTTGAGTTCATCTGAGATGGTTAATATAAAGAGACTATAATAAAAAGACTGCTTGCAAATGTGTGGGCAGGATTAAGGGACAAAACATGGATAGCACAGCACTAAGATGAGCGAAATTGGGACTCCATGCCTAGGGCCAAGGAGACATGTGGAGAAAATTAAGTTAGGAGCCTGAGGAAGTCACCATGAAGGAGGGGCTGCTCCGTGAGAGTTTTAGTCTTTGAGGGAATTCAGCTACTGTCAAAAACCCAGCATAGAAGCAAAGAGTGGGCCGGTAGACAAGGACCCTGAGCAGTGTGGTCCTGGTCAGCCACAGAGAGCACAAAGCAGGACAAAGGAGGTAGATGGCTCTTGGGGGGCAGGGAGGTTGTGAGCAAAAAAGATGTTAGTTTTCCCTGATTCAGTGAAATAAAAATCTCAATAGGATTTTCCATGGAATTTGATAAGCTGATTTTAAAATTTACACGGACAAGGCTTAGTACAGCTAAAACACCGTTGAAAAAGAATAAAATGGACTTGCTCTACCAGACGATTAACTTATTACAAATCTACAGTTATTAAGATGGTGTTACACGGGCACAGAGACAGACAGACTGACCAACTGAACAGAGTAGAACCTGAAACAGGTCAATGCCTACATGGCAGATTTAGGGAGGAAGTGGGGATCGTTCAATACAAGGAACTAGCAGGAATGGCTACCCACGTGAAAAAAATTAAATTGGATTTCCCAAAATCATCACAGATGAACTAATGACTTAAACGCAAAACTTTAAATTTTTTAGTGGAAAACATCAGTAGTTGATCTGACCCTCAGTTAGGTGTTTCATTAACACGATATAAAAACCACTAACCATAAAAGAAGGAAACTGAAAAATGTAAGAACTGCTACTGAACAAAAGAATCATTACACAAGGTGTAGCTTGATTTTCAGACTGGGAGAAGGTATCTGCAACATGTGTAAACAAGTTTTGCCAAATCTGTATGAAAGGACAAACAACCGAATAGAAAAATTGGCAAAAGACACGATCAGGTATTACACAGGGAAAGAAATATATATAGCTAATTAACATGTGCGGAGATGCCTGACCTCATTCTTAAACATGGAAATATAAATCAAGATCACATGGAATATAATTTTACACTTGTGCAACTGGCAAAAATCAAGAATGATAATACTGAATGCTGGGGAAGATGTTCAACAGGATCTCTTATATATGGCTGGTGAGCTGGGTAAATTGGCACAACCACTTTATAAAGTAATGCCAAATTGTTTTCCAAAGTTAAACATTCACCTATTTTATGATCCAGCAATTCCACCCCTAGAGAAATGGTATACCAAGATATGTTAATGAGAAGAGAATGTTCAAAGCAGCATTGTTTACTACAAAAAAGTGGAACCAACTCAAATGCCCACTAAAAGGAAAAAGTAGGGTCTAGTCACATAATGGAACAGTAGACCCCAGAGAGAAAAGAAAAGAACTCCAACTCTGGATAATATGTATTCATTTCACTAGAGTCAAAAAAAGCAAGCCCTGAAAGACTACACATCGCATGATACTTATAAGGTTCAAAACCATTACATTTACTTTTGTAAAAGCAAAGGAATGATAAACACAACATTTAGGAGTGTTTAACCTCAGGCTGGGAGGATGGGGTTAGGGAAGACCAAACAGGTGGTTAAAAGTTCTGGCCAGTGTTCTTACTCTTAAAAAAAATTAAAAAAAACAATGGGGTATTGGGTTTCCTTAGGAATTTTATAATATTACTAAAACATATAAGTAAATTAACATGAGTATAACTCATGAACGAAGGATTATGAATTAATCTAATTCTGTACAACTGGAGTCTATCAAAAAATAACACAAAGCAAAAAACTTAATCCTTTTCAAAATCTGTCAGTGGCTTTCTATTGCTTTAGGCTTCAGTGGGCTTTGAGCTCTGAGATCCAGCTGCTCTCTATAAGAAAGACAAGAAGGGAAGAAGGAAGGAAAGACAAGAGGAAAGAAACTAGGAACAAAACACAAGGAAGAGGCTATAACACTGAGGCTAAGCCAAGCTCGTCTGACAACTGACAATCGTTCTTGAAGTTAGGATCCAAAACGAGGGTTCTGCAAACTCCTCCAAAACTATTACAGTACTTGTGTATTTCGTTTCTTTCCTCCTTCTTTTGAAAAATCCCTAACTCTTTCATTGTCCAACATGGCAGCTGCTGGCCACATGAGGCTATTTAAGCTGATTAAAATGTATAAAATTACAATTCAGTTTCTCCGTCACATTAGCAGCAGATCAAGTGCTCAAAGCTATGTGTAGATAGTGACCACCATATAGTAGCAGACAACAGAGGTGTAGAATGCTTCCATCATCTTGGGAAGTTCTAATGGACAGCGCTACTTTAAACTCATGTCAGCTGAAAAGAAGGGGCAGAGTAACCTGTCCACATGCAAGGTAGGCTGGAGAAGCCCTGGAGAGGCAAGGGGTGGCAGAGGGCATCCGATGACTGCAGACCGAGGGCACCAGAGAGCACTGAGGGGCCCAATCCTTCCCACGGGGATTTCTGCAGCAGCCCCAAGCCTCACAGAGCTTCAGGCAGGGACCTGAAACCGCCCATCTTTTCACTCCACCCTCAAAACTCTCACCTGGGAGGGTGGGCACGAGTGTTTGTGAACGTCCCAGGCCTTCCTTCCCTTCACCTCAGCCCTCCTTCCCCTACTAGCACCTCCACCCTCCAGAGCTGCTTTGCTCTGAGGAGCCTCTCTGCGGAGGATCAAAGAGGCTAGCCCGAGAGATGCCAAAGTGTTCGCAAGAGCAGCACACAAGAACTCATGGTAGTGTGGCTGCCACTCTTTCTGAAGTGCTAGGGAAGGGGTGGGGAGGAGAGGGGTACAGTCTTTCTCCCACCCACCCCTCCACCCCATTGGAGGCAGGCACCAGATCCTCAGAAGTGGTCCCTGCAGGCAGGTCCTTGTCCTGACCAGAACCTATTTGGCGATCACCCCTTGCCTATCCCATGCCATCAGCCAGGATCAATAATCAGGAAACATCACAGCAGCAAAGTGGCTCGTCCACAGATGAGGAAACTGAGGCCCTGGCGGGGAAGGAACCTGCACGAGTTCTCCTGGCCAGGAAGTGGCGGAATGGGACCAGGGCTGCCAACTTTCCTGGGTTCCACTCTTCCCACTGTGCCAGTCAGGGGCCTCGGTGGAGAGTTCTGAGTGCCCCTGTCTGTGCCCAGGCATCTGCCCCTCCCTGCCCAGTGAGTGATCCTCACCCGCTCTGCTCTCCCACGGGCCCTGGCACAAAGTGGAGCCTGTGCCAGCAGGTGGTGGTGGAGGGAGTAGTAGCCTGAATGAGGGGGCTGGGCCTGGCACGCAGCTGGGTTCAGGAGTTCGGCTCTTTCCTGGAAGCCAGCCTGCTTCTCAGCTCTCAGAACTGCCGCGAACAGGGGGTCAGCTTGCCTGTGCCAGCTTGTCCACCACAGGAATTGTGGCCGGATCCCAGTGACTGGGGTTGGAGGGAGCAGGCCATGGGGAAGGAGGGAGGAGAGGGTTGTCAGGGGACCCCGGGCCCCTCCCTGGGGCTCCCCCAGCATCTGAGCTCCCCCTGCTCAGCCCTTCCATATAGCGGGTCAATGCCACTCAGCAGCTGCTTCCTCCAGCAGACCTGCGGCTCATTCATCTTTGTGTCCCCAGCACAGAACGAGGCACATGAGCAGGTACGCCAGAGAACACTGACGAGCCAGTGAGTGAGGCCGACAGCTGCGGTTGGGAGATCCCATCCAGGGCAGCTGGGGGGTGGGGGCAGCAATGGAGAACATGGAACCTTACACTCCTCTGATCTTATCATCTAAAATTACAAGAGCAAAGCTCGCTCTCTTCCTGATCTTGGGGCTTGGATGCAGTGCACAGCATGAGGCTGTGAGTGGGCATGGCTATGTTCCAGTCAAACTTTATTAATGGGCACTGAACTGAGAATTTCATACAGTTTCCACGTGGTAGAAAATGTTAATCTTCTTTGGATTTTTTTCCCCCTCATCATTTAGAAATACGAAAACCATTCTCGGCTTGCAAGTCAGACAAAAACAGGTGGTGGCTCAGATTTGGCCAGGGCTATCGATTGCCAACTTCTGGGAGCGAATGTCTGGGGTGTGTTTGGGGACACACTTTAGACAGGAGGGTTGAGGAAGTCCTCGCTGAGGAGATGACATGTTGGCAGAGGCCTGGGGGAGGGGCAGCAGGCAGTCCTGAGCTCCCAGCAAAGAGAACAACATGTGCAAAGGCCCGGGCCATGTGACTTCGGACAGGGGTGAGGCAGAGGACCAGGTGAGAGGCCAACAGGTCAGCAGGAGCCAGGTCACGTGGGCTCCCGGGGAGGACTTTGGTCTCAATATGACAGCCAGCCACTGGGGTCTGTTATTTACTAGCTTCCCCAATAACCTTTGCAAGTTATTCAACCTCTAAGGCTCATTTTCCCATCACAATGGTAATAATAACAGCACCTGCGTCAGAGGTGTTGCAGGACTCAGTGGGCACCATGCTCTAAATGAATGTCAGCTGCCAATCTCAACATTAACGATGGAGTCCCCGCTGGATGAGGCAGGAGCTGGGAAGAGGGGCGACAACTTTTGTCCAACTCACCCACGATGTCCACCACATCTGGCCGGATGAGCGGCTCTCCGCCCGTGAGCCGGATCTTGTTGACACCTTCCTTCACAAAGAGGCGGGCGAGGGTCAGGATCTCCTCTGTGGTCAGCAGGTCAGCCTTGGGGGTCAGAGGGACACCCTCCTCGGGCATGCAGTACTGACCTGCGGGAGGGACGGGACGTGGAGGTAGGCAATGGGCACGGCAGGCCCGTGGTGCCTGGCCAGCTCTCCCACTCCCCGGCAAGCCAAGTCTCCCCGAACCCCATCCAGACAACAAGGAAAGACCTCACCAAATCCCAGGCGGTACAAACTCTAGGCCAGCATCCATCTGGGTCTCACCTTTCTCATCTCCAAAGTGTCAACCCCCTGCCCCCATCTGGCTGTGACATCCCTAAGTGGGGGCTGAGGGCACAGGTCGAAGATGAGCTAGGCTGAGCGCAGAGCCTTGCCTGAGGCAGCGGGCCCCAAGGCTGACTCCCTTGCTGCTGGCAGGGCCTGGCGGGGGCCTGGGGCCATTCCTTCTGCACTGCGCATCCTCCTTCATTTCCTCCAGCCGAGGCGAACAGTCCCCGTTCTCTGCATGTGCCATGGGGTGAGGGCTGACTCCCTGGTCTGGTAAAAGCTGCCCTCCTTTGTGGCTACAAGCACCTACCCAGTACCTAGTTCAGGTCACCACCAGTCCCACTGTCTGGGCTGGAAAACTGAGGTGCTACGTGTTCAGGGTGAGGGAGCAGGTAGGGTAGGTGAGGTGCGCCGTGGCGGGGGAGGCGCCATCCTCTACCAGCACTTCCTGCAGCACAGTTTGGTTAAGGATTGGGTCAGGATCTGCCAGAGGTCATGAAGTCTAATTAGTGATCTGGGTCCAGAACTGGTGTTTTGCGATTAAAAAGAATGAGTAAGAATGTCAGTATGTATTACATGTAGCATGTTTTGTTTGGTTAAACATTTACTAAACACATTTGTATGTATTTATTGAGCCATGAAATAAATATATTTCCTATTGTGAGGTACAATGGAAAGAAGGAAAGAGGGAGAGGGGAGGGGAGGGAGGAAGAGAAAGAAGGAGGTGGAGGTGAAGGGGGAAGGCAGGAGGGGAAGGGGGCAGGCAGAGAGGAGGACCAGAACTCTGGCAGCCTGCCAGCAGAGGGTACACCCCCAGAGTGCTCCCCACACAGGGTTATGAAATGAGTGCTCGGCCCGGCCTCAGCTGATTTGTCATGGAACTGGGGTGTCTCCATGGCTGGCAGTGTTGGCCAGGGCACTGCTATGTATTTCCCTTATTTATAATGTCTCCCTCCCACCTCCGACCCCCTGGATTTTGGGAACTACAGGGAAACAAGAGGAAGGGGCCCTGAAGAGTGAGAGGTCCAGGACCCAATCTCAATCCTAGATCCAATCGAGATTCTGTTCTCAAGTCTAATCCCAAGTAGAGCCCAGTTTCCACAATCATAAAACTCAACCTTGACCCCGATCTGGCCCCTGAAGCCCACCTAGCCTGGCAAGCAAGGAGCAGGCGGTGGGGAGGTTAGAAAGCGGAACGGGAGGACTGGGGAGAATTCTGGGCATGCGCAGATTTCAGAACCGCTTCCGCAGAGGGATGGCGGCCCCGAGAGGGCCCAGGAAGGAACTCACATCTGAGGTTGCACCTCTCCGTGAGGGAGATCCGCAGGTAGCTGTGCTGCCGGCCGAAGCTGTCTGTGAGGAAGGCGGAGAAGGGGGCCGCGTGCTCCCGCAGGAACTGCCTGCGTCTGGACAGCTCCTGCAAGGACAGGACAGGACAGGGATGGAGCTTGGGATGGGGGTGGGGCCACAAGGAGAACCACCTGGGGAGAACTGAGATAGCCCCCCATATGTCAACTGCCACTGCCTGCTTCCTCACACTGACATTTGTACAGCACTTCCAACCTCTCCACAATCCTTGGGCCACTGAGACTGTCCCTCTCATTTACAGGTTGAGAAACAGGCTTGAAGGAAGGACCCATCCCCTGGGCACTCGGCTGGGGCGTGGGATCTCTGGCTAGGCAGCAAGGTGGGGTGAAGGCCAAGGGGAACTCTTTATCCTTCTTTATTCAGTCCTTATACTTCACGCTACCCAGTGCCAGAGAGAAGGATTATGCACCCATTGTCTTGGCCGGGCCTACAACAGGAGGAGACTGCTGGCGGCTCTAAGCAAAGTCAAACTCTTCCTGGGGAGAAAAAGGAGGGAGCCAACCTCAGGCTCTTCCCACGCCTGAGTGTGATCTAGTCTTCCGATCTGCTCTGATCTGTCTTCCCTGCTCTCCCCTCAACCTGGAGAGCACGGCCCTGGATCCCCACAGATGTCGATGAGACAATTGTTCCAGGGAAGGAACATTTAAAAGCACATTCAAGTTTCCAAAGAATGTCCTCTGCTCAATTCCCACACCCACCCCATAAAGGGTAACTAAGGCTCTGATGGGGTCTAAGAACGCACCGTTGGCAGAACCAAGATTCAAATCCAGGACTTCTGATTTCAGGTTTTAAATTCTTTCCTCCGATTACATGGGGAGAGTCTAAGAAGGTAGGTAGGATGATGACTAGGGTGGGGAGAAGTCACCTCTCTAGAATGTTTAGGACGAAGACATCATGACTGTGGTGGTCATCCACGAGATCTACAGACAGGGCTCTGGACTGGGCCAGGTGTGACCTGGCATACTGAGAAAGTTCCTTAACTTCTCCAGGACTATTTTCCCAGTTGTCAAATAAGAACACAGTTAGGGGCTAAGGTTGTCTTGCTAGGAGTAAAGATGGGGGGTGGTGAGGATCAGAAGCTGGTAGGTTCTAGGATTATCATGATCTTGTTAAGAAAGCAGAGGCTTTAGACCCTCCAGAGCTCCAAGGTAAACTGCATGTCTACACCAGGAGAAAGAAACGGTAGCTTCAACAAGTTCCTCAGCTCTGGCTGCACATTAGAACCATCTAAGGAACTTAAAAACTATTCCACTGAAGACCAAATGAATCCAGATCTCTGGGGCTATTGTGTTTTCAATCTCTGTGCTTCTAATCTGCAGCCAGGGTCAGGAGCTATTGATTAACTCAAAGATAGAAGGGACACGAGTTAGAGCGTGTGGGAGTGCTTTCATGATTTTCCTGAGTCCAAAAAACTTTCTTTACTCTATCCGCCCGAAACCAGTTTCCTACCCCCTCTGAGAAACCCTGCTCACATTCCCATGGGAAACATGTAGCAATCCCTTCTCTGAACTGCAGCCTGCTACACTCATAAACAGTCATTTCCTCCCTCCCTGTGGTGTGATGGAAAAAGCTCACACTCACCGGGCTGCCTCTCCACGGGTAGCCATGGGGGGCAAGGGATGCTCCAGAATCCAGAATCCCATCGGCCACCAGAGTCCAGATGAGACACCCTGGAATCCAGATTTAGAGCGGTGCTGCACCCTCCTTCCCATCAACAGCTATTTGCAGTTTAGTCATTTGTTAGTCACTCTGGGCTCTGCCTCTTCACTTGACAAGATGCCCCCCTCACCCTAACCCTAACATATTGGGGGGGGGGGCTAGGTGAGGGAGGAGCCAAAATAAACCCAGGAATTGGGAGCAGGTGAGAGGACCAAGGAGCATGACTCAGCAGAAATCTGAGAGCAAGCAGTGGGATGGAGCAATATGGAATTAAGCATTTTTGTTCTGGCCACGGAGGAGGGGCCAGCCAGATTTCACCTTCGAGAACTTCTGTAGCCTTATCTACAAATAGATTATTTCAGGCTGCACCACCGGTTCCCACTACAGCCTCCCAAACACACACACCCTCTCCCTGTCAGCTGCGCAAACTCATTACTGGGATACTAACAAACCTCATCCCTGCATTTTCTCTCTTCCGATACTGCATGTCCTACTTTCACTTTTACTCTTTTTCCCCCCTTTTAAGTCCCTGGAGGAAAAAAATATGAGCACTAGTCAAAGGAGCCCAGGATTCAGAAGAAATTAAAGGATACGGTTGGGGCTGTACAGAGGTAACAGAAAGCCCTAAACTGCTCATATTCCCAGGGCCCCCGCCTGGACCAGGCTGTTTCCTCTGCGTGAGAAGTCATCCTGCCTGACTCGGTATCCCCAGCGTCTACCACAGCATGTTGGTACCTAGTGTTGAACCACTGTATCTAATGGAAAGAGCAAGAAGGTGTACACAAACCCACTTACGCTGGGGTGATCGTTCATTTCCAGGCTGGTCTCTACTGTCAAAGTGGTTTAGCTGGGGGGGGGGCATTCTCAACCTCAGCACATATCAAAATCGCCTGAGTAGCTTCTCAGAGGGACTGATGACAGAGCATCACCCCAGAGATTCTGGCCCCACTGAGTGCCTCAGCTTTCCACTGTGCAGCCTGCGGATGTCGCAGGGTCGGGTGCTATTTTGATCCAGGGGTAGCTGTGGTTCTGCGCACGGGCTTTGGAGTAGGAGAACCTGGTCCCCAACCCACAGGCTGTGGCCTGGTACCAGTCCATGGCCTGCTGGGAAACGGGCTGTGCATCACTGCCTGAGCCCTGCACTACCCTCCCCCGACCCATGACACCCCCACCACCCCCACACTGCCCACAGCCCACCCTCCATGGAAAAACTGTCTCAACTGGCCTCTGGTGTCAAAAAGGTTAGGGACCACTGCTCTAAAGCTTAGCTTCCTCCTCTCTACAGTGGGAATAATAATCCTACCAAACTCAATGGCGGCAGTTCCTGACACACAGTAGGTATTCATTAAGTGACCGTGGAGGAACACCACGGCGTGTGCCATGACTAGTTTTCCTACTCTGTGTCAACTTCCTGGCCTTGTAAGACTCTAGCCTTCCAACCCTACTAATGGCAATGGCCTGAGGCAGGGTTTCCAAGCTGCTGTCCCACCACCCAAAGCAGGACAAGCAGGGTCTGAGCTGTCCCAGGGCCACCATTGCCAGTGCTATAAGCAGGCACTAGACAGCCTGCCATATGCTTCTGCTTATCTCTTGTCTACCCGCTGCAGACTGGGGTGAGGGGTGGGGGAGGGTGGTACAAAGAAGTCAGTTAAAGGGATACCCCACCCTCAAGCACCTCCCCCTGACAGTCACAACCATGGGCATCTGATTTGAATGGTAAAAGTTAGCCCCCAGGAAGGCAGGTCACTGGGTCTCCCCCCCCACCTCCCTACTGACCCACACACCACCACATGCCCTTGCCACCTGTACAAGCTGCTCACCCTGTCCTCGGACCCAGCCCAAGGCCCCCTTTCCACTGTCCTCACAGCCAGCTCCCGCTCACACCTCACTTCTCTCACACCCACACCCTGACACACAGACAGACAATGCCCACTGGCTTCCCATCCTGGCTCTCTAAGCACATCCCATCCCAAACCAGACAGCTAGAGCCCTGTGGGGAGGGTGTGGGGAGAGGGACCCTGCAGGAAAGGAAGGGGGTACAGGAGCTCCAGATGCCCCCACCCCTGCTCCTGCCAACTGGCAAGCTATGTAGATGAGCTGAACATATATTAACACATCTCCGGACTCATCTCCCCTCCCAGATTCTCTTAAAGACAGATTTCTGTGCCCTCCCCATCTTAGGATGAGCTGGCCCAACCTTCTGGTCTTAGAGACCTGAAGCAAGGGGAAGTGACAGCCCCAAGAGCCAGGTGAAATTGGAAGGGGAAAACATTGGACTCCCTGCCCAGTGCTGTCTACTATGCCATGTGACTGGCCACTATTTGGGGTTCAAACAGCCAAAAACACTTGCTGAGTCCAATGCCTGCACAACTTTGTGTTAAGCACCGTGGGGAAATAAAAGGCGGAGCAGCACCCAGCCCTCAGGAGCTCCCAGTCTGCTGAAGTTAACACTACTGGAGGTGGCCAGGGTGGAAGGTCTGTGATCAAACAGTTGGCAGAATGGCTGTCCTACATGTCCAAGTGGGAGGGGACTAACAGGACATGGCATGTGCCAATAGCAGCAAGGACAATAATGTGCCAGGATTTGTTCTTAGTATATATGTTAACATTATGTTAATCATTTTAATCCCTATAAAACCCTATGAAGTAGACAGTATTACTCCCACTTGACAGATGAGAAAACTGAGGCACTAAGAGGTGAAGGGACTTGCTGAAGCTGGTACACCTAATAAGGGGTGGGGCTGGAACACACCCCAGCATTCTGCCCTAGATTCTATGTTCTCCCTGCTCTGTTACCCTTTCCCTTGCGGCATGAAGGGAAGGGTAAGAGTAGCCTCCATCCCTGGCCTCCCTGGTCCCTGGCCTCCCCATAGGGAGGAGGTGTGAGCACAAGCCTAAGAGCTGAGCTCCTGGCCCCCCCCTCCCCCCGCTTTCCGGCTCTGTAGACTTGAGGCAAGTTGGCTTTGATGAGCAGCCTCACCTGAAAATACAGGCTCTGCTCACCTCACATGGTTCATCGTGAGGACTAAATGAGACCACATATGAGGTCACTTAGCACACAGGTCCTCTCATGAAAGGTACAAAATAAACTGGGGGGTGGGCAGAGAAGAATTTTCCCTTTTCTTCAATTCTTTAAAGATCTCTCAGCCATCTTCGTTTTCCTATCTTTTCCTCAATAAAGTTCAGAGTTCAAAGATACTAAAAAAAAAAAAAAAACCCTCACTTCTCAGCAAGGGACCCTGCTCATCTGAGGACCCCAGAGGAGCTTAGACTTGGGGAACACAAATTAGGCAGAAGTCCTCCCTGTCATTGAGCAGCATGGGGGAGGCGCGGCAGTGATGTGATGAATCCCAGGACCTGAAGCCTAGTCCTGGGAGACAGGAAAAGAGCCACCAGATAGGTCTGGAAATGAGGTTTCACCAAGTGAGAAGAGATGCTTTTCTCTCCAGACCACTCCCTAACCACACGAGCAAAAGAACAGGAACAAACTTAAAACTTTTTAAGGCTTGAAACACTCTGAGGGGCGCCGTCAGAGTCCGAGGGACCCTACCCCAACCCCTACGGAGATGCAGGCATGGGTGACCTGCAAGGGGCCAGGTCCTGCTCCGTCCTGCTCTAGGAGGAGGCCGGACTCTCCCCCAAGGTTAATAAAAAGGAGAGAGAGAGAGAGTCAGCAAAGGATGGGTTAGAGAACCCTGTGGCTACAAAGTGAGAACTGACTCTGCTGGTGGCACCAAGGTGACATGTTTAGTCAGTCACGCTGGGAAGCAGGTGTCACAGGAACACTGGGTCACACACAGACACCCTCCTCCCGGGGGACAGGGAGGGAAAGATGTTCAGGGAAGAGGTGGGGTGCCAGGCAGGGCTGAGGGGTACTCATAAAACACTTCGCGGGACCCAAAGCGCCGGTCCCCAGGGATGCCCCCATTTCTGGCCAATGCTGCGACCTGGAAGGGGGCGGCAGGGCTGGGGGCAGGGAGAGTCGGAGCAGCCCCGCCCGCCGGGTAGGGGTGAGACTGAGCAGGGTAGCTGGAGCCCCTCACGGCACCCTTGTAGAGCGCCGGGGGTCCCGCCCAGAAGCGGCCCGCGGACGGGCCAGGTGCTTCCCGGGTACCCCGGCCAGGTGCAGATGCGGGCGGGAGGGGTGGGCTCACCTCCGCGGCAGCCTGAGAGGGCTCCCCGGGGCAGGGCTGCGACACCGGAGCCCCCGAGCTGCAGCTCCGGGCGATGGACCTCAGAACCCGCCGCAGCATCCGGGACAGCGGCCGCGCCGCCATGAGGCCAGCGCGCAGGGCCGAGGCTCGGCGGGTCGCCAGCTCCCGGAGCACACTAGCCCGGCGCTCGCCGGGTCGCCGCGCGGGACGGGGCGGGGCGGGGGCGGGGCCCGCGCGGCCAATCGGCGAGGGCGCCGCGCCGCGCGGCACTCTGGGAGCTGTAGTCCACTCCCTCAGTCCCGTTCCTCGGCAGGGGGTAAGCGTTCCAGGGCAAAGGGTAAACTCCAGGGGCAAGCCCGTTCTTCTTCCGGGCACCTCTGGCTGCTCTGGCCTGGGACTTGGGTCACGATGTGACTGGCACAAAGCGCAGTAAGCAGGGCAGGACTAGGGCTGGAAGAATGAGACACTGGCCCAGAATTTAAGAGGGATGCCAAGAAAACTCGGTTCACAAGATAAGGAATATTTTAATGCAGCATTTCAAAAAATGAAAATCAAGGTTAAAAAAAACTCATGAAACATCCACATTGTAAATAGAAACAAGATCAATCCTGCCCTTGCACGACTCACCTCGCTCACTTTGCCCTCGTCCAGACCGCAGTTGTAGGACAGTCAGTTCTGTCTTTCAGGATGCCCTTCTCCAAGTGTGATCCAAAAGGACATTATCAATCTTGGCTTCTCCACTCAAAAAAGGAGTATATATAGGGAGAAGTCACAGAATAAGTGTATATCATTTTTTGAGTGCTTCCTGCGCCCCAAGAACCAGGCTAAGCATCATTTAATACAACAATCCTGGAATGAAGAGAGTGTCCATTTTGCAACTGAGAACATTGAGGCTTACAGAGGCCAGGAGGTAATTAAAGTCACACAGCTCATAGGTGACAAAACTGGGTTTTAAACCCACAACAATCTGATTCCTGCACTATACAAGATTCAATATGTGTTGGGAATGGTGGGGGTGTGCCTCTTTCTCTCCATGAAAAAGAGTCCTCTAAGATTGTGGATGGTAAAACATGTAAAAAGAAAACAAAAATCTCAGTCCCTCTCACCCCAAATCCTTATACAAAAGGGAAGGTAAAGGCCTCGGGCATCTGTGAAGAACTGGCCTCACAGAGCATTCCTTAAGGAAATTCCTTACTGATCTCTCATAAGCAAGGGCACCCAATTGTAACTTTAGATTTGCAGGTTATGTCTAGCTCCTAACACTAAAGTCTCTTCTATTCCACACTAATAATGAATTACATGTTTATCTTCGCTTTGAAGAACAGAGACAAGACAGGATCACACATTCTTCCGCCTACCCAGGGACATCTATATAACTGATGCTTCCTTCACTTCCTTTTTCTCTTCTAACATTTGCCATATCTTATGCAAAATGTAGATTTTCCTGGGTCTCACAAGTATAGTAACCATTTTGTCCCACTACCTCTGATCCCTGGCCTTTTTTTTTTTTCTGTTGTATGCTTTTAAATGCTGAAACTTCCAAATTCCTGTTTGGCAAAATAGCCAAAGTTTGTCTGTGGTTTGTGTTTTTCCTGGGCGTGTCCTCAGCTTTGGGTAAATAAACCTCCATTGATTAAGATTTTTGCCTCAGTCACTTAGTTTTTGAGTCAACACTCAATAACAAACTTATGTACTAAGAATCTTTATGCTCAAACCAGCCTATCTGCTGTATCCAAAACCCTATCACTGTGAAATTGCAAGAATCAAACACCGACCAGTACAGACGAGCTGCCAAGTGTGTGGGGAAGAAGTGGGGCTATAGCTCCTGGTCTTGAATGACAGACTAGTGGGGGAAGAAAGAGTAACAGAATATAACTTTTACAAATGTAGCAAGACTGTCCAAAGAGCTAGATGATTTTAGCCTCAGACTCAAGGTGAGTTTCTCATGATGTTACTCAAAGTTCAAATAATATATTGTGGGTGATGAAGGTGTGTCTGGGTATGTTTGAAACTGGTGGGACAGGTCAGACAGAAGTTTATTTGCCAGGGATCTGAAGACTCACTGAGGCCTGTTGAGGCTCTGTCCATTGCCAACTGTAGGTATGTCTGGATTTATCAGGGGAGCTGGGTATGGGTATGGGGAGGACAAAAGTCATTTTTGAGGGGGGAGGAAGGTATGACACCTGAAGGACTCAATCTCAAGGAAGAAGCCACCTGACATAATGAACTTAATCCAAAATACCAGCAGCTGCATGGAGCCTTTCTGGATTCCACCCTCTTTATATAAATTGTATGTGATTATGCCTTCGCTTGGGCCTTACTGTCACTTTTTATAGAACCTTGGATCTCCCGAGCTGGGCAAAACATTAAAGCTTAGTCCATTTCATTTGGAAACTGAAATTCTCTCTACATTAGCACACATCTGCTTGGACTCCTCCACTGCAGAGAAACTTGCTGGCTTCCTGATGTTACCTGTTCCACTTAAATGCCTGCCTTGCCTATTAAAATCTTACTTGTATTGAGCAAAAATGTACCTCTTTCTTTCAACATATGGTGATTAATTTTCATCAGGGCCAGGTATTCTGCTAATGGCTGGGGAAAAGGAAATACTTTCAGGGCTCACAGCCTAATTAGGGCCCTGATCTGGTGAGTCTGTGGATGGATTTGAAGAGATCTATAGACCCTTGAAACCCTTGAAATGAGATGCATGGTACTGTATGTGTACATTTTTTCTGGGGAGAGATGGCTTTTATCACATGCTCAAAAGGGCTCATGACCTGAAAGACGGAGCATACTGGCCTAAAAATCACTCTTCAGTGATACCCTTCTATTGGCTCTGTTTTTAGCCACTGGGGCTATGTGTGCTTCCTTTCATTTGAGAACTCAACCCAAGTGCTCTCTTCTTTGTAATAAACAGCATCAATTATTGCCAACCCTTGTGTACAACATCATGTGAACCACTGCACCATTTTAGTCCATCTTTCTGAATACAACATGGTTTAAGTCCTGTATTTTGACAAAATGACTACGACAATATGTCCTCTTTTCACATGTTCTAGAGCCATGCTGTCCAACAGACCGTCCTGCAATGATAGAAATATCCTGCATCTTTATATGGCTATTGAGCACTTGAAATGTGGCCAGTGTGACTGAGAAAGTGAATTTTTAATTTTATTAAATTTTAATTAATTTAAGTGTTGTCAATGGAAAAAAAAGCCAAACTCTGTAAAATAATTTTAAAGAGATTTATTTCTGAGCCAAATTTGAGGGCCATGACATGGAGCCACTGCCAAGAGGCTTTGGGCAAGTGTACTCGATGTGACTGGGTTACACTTTGGGTTTTACACATTTCAGGGAGACAGGGGTTACAGGTAAAGTCATAAATCAATACATGAGAGGCATACATTGGTTTGGCCCAAAAAGGTGGGACATCTCGAAGGGGGGGGCTTACAGGTTATAGGTAGGCTTAAGGATTCGGATTGTAATTGGTTAAAGACATGAAGCTTTGTCTAAAGGCTTGGAATATTTTAACATAAGGAGCTATTATCAGAGATAAGTCACAGGACATAGATTTGTTGTGTAAATTGAGGACCTGCAGGTTTGTCTTGCATATCCTTAGGCCTGTTAATGGGTTACAAAGGAAGTCCCTAAGAAGGGAGGGGGGCATGATGAGGCCTGTCTTCCTGGCAGACAATTTAGTTTTAAGATATTCCTTTGGCCACAAGGGGTGGGGGGTCCATTCAGTCAGCTGGTGTGTGTGGGGGGGTGGTGAGCCTTAAAATTTTATTTGACTTCACAGTATAAAGAGCCACATGTGGCTACTGGCTATTGTATTGTTCAGTGCTGTTCTAGAACTTTGCTTTCTTCAGTAAGAGGTGGTATTAACTTTTCTCCTCTTGCACCTGGGTGAGTTTGTAACCAATACAATAGGGTGACAGTGATGCTGCCTGATTTCTGAGGCTAGCTTGGAAAATGATGCAACTTCCACCTGACCACTTTCCTCTAGTGCTCTGCTCTCTGGCTGATGGGAAGACACTATCCTCTTTATTCCTATCCGTCTCCTCCTCATCTGTATTTCAGCTCCTACCCTCTCCCGCCCCCAACCACATCCGGGATGGGATTTCTGGCCATATGTTCATTGTTTCTCTTTACTAACAGGAGCCTTGAGTATCCAGTCCTCTGGATGAATACTCATTTAAACTCATGCCCATTCTGTCAGTAGCTGAGGACTCTCCTTGCAAATTTAGACATTTTAATTAAACCATGAAATAAAACGTTTTAGAAAATATTGTATCAACTATTCCTATCATTTCTCTTTCTTTGGACCTTATTGAGGACGTTCTCCATTTGCTCCTCCAGCTCCTCCTCCACTCTGGTGTGAGGACCGGAAGGTTGCCCTCTACCAACTGCATTGAGAGGATTCCCAGGGGAATCTTGCCAAAGGAGACACAAGCAGGAGACTGGAGAGCAGGAGGAGAGAGAGGTCAGAATATTTATTCTTCCTGACCCCTTCCTGTTTTGCTCTGCTTCTGGCAATGCCTGAACCCTTCCACAACTATAGCTGGTGCTATATGGCCCCTCTGCCACGATTCCATCTGGTCCAGTCACACTATTACTAACCCGCATCTCTTCAGACTGGAGTGGAACTGGCTTTCCTCTGTTGATGGTCACTGAATGTCTGAAGATCCTGTTGGCCCCTTTAACTCTGCCCATACCTCAGAAATGTTCACTTCAGTTAAATGTCCCTTCAAATATTCCAGCTGAATATGTCATCTGTCTCTTGCTGGTTCCCTGACTGATACAGGATTCATGTGCTCCTCTCTTCCATAGTATACTTTGCTAATAGTGGCAATTACAACAGAGTGATATAGTTTATTTATTTATATGCTTTCTGCACTCTAAGCCCTTTGCAGGCTGGTGCTAAATCTAAATCATCTCTAATCATAGCTAGCATGGTGTTTAGTGCACAGTAGACTCCCAATAAATGGGGTTAAATGGTAGATTCCATATCCTCGACTTGCCTTTCCAGTGGGATGGCTGTTGCTGTGGTTTGGATATGGTTTGTTTGTTCTCACCAACTCTCATGTGCAAATTTGATCCTCAGTGTGGCAGTGTTGGGAGGTGAGGCCTTGTGGGAGGTGTTTGGGTAATGAGGGCCGGTCCCTTGTGAATGGCTTGGTCCTGTTC